GTGGAAACCCGCCTGCATTATCCGTGTCCAGCAGAGTTGTGCTGACCTCTAGGGTAGAAAACAGATGGTGGGACTGAGAAGCAGCACAGAATCTAAGGCTCAGATGATGACTCGCCCACAGCCAAGAAAGTGTGTATATGTTGGGAGGGGGTGGCAAAATTAAGGCCACCAAGGTCCAGAAATGGTGCTCTTTCTGTTGTGAGGGCAAATGTGGAGAAGGGAGGAAGAGAGGACTGGGAGTTCCCTTACCAGATAACCATGGCTGCAAAGTTGGGACAAGCAGAGGAGCAGGCTTACATGGAGTTTCCCAAGGTACCCTAACCCAAGACATGAACTGAAGTCCCATGTGCAAAGGTGGTGGGCTGTGCAAGGTCACCCTGGGCACGCGTAAGTAACTGGTCTGGCCAAGGCAGCCTGTCGGTTTGTCCATTCTTATGCATGCCCAGGAATCAGCACCTACTACAGAGGAGGATCTGGAGAAGGCCACTGGGGCTAAGAGATGTGCTTCTGGGGATAGATCCTGGGTGTGACCTTGTCACCTGGGCAACCCTTGCTCCTAAGACTACTCTCCCAGAGGTGCCTACAGTGCAGACCTGGAGAGCAGGCCTGCAGTTCCCGGGGACCAGGAAGCAGTGGCACAAGAATTAAGGGTCCTCAGCAAGACATAAACTTCTACAACCTAAGCTGTAATTACAGTGATTATAGAAATACAGTCTTGTAGCCACTGATCTGATAGGAGAAGCATGGAGTGTATGCGATAGTTTCGAGTGTGAGATTCTATCAGGACACAGATTATTTGTGTACTATCATACTCAACCTGTCTCTTGCATGTGACGAGTTAAATATTTACCATACCAGGCACAGTCTCATTTATACAGTCACATACGCATAACAAGTGACAAAGTCATCCATGTCTCACTCATTCACACGGGCACCTGGAGAAATACAGGTGACACAGTGTTGCCCACGGCAGCCTTCCTGTGCAGGCACATGTTGCTGCCTCATCACCGTGGGTCTCCTGGGGCCCCAAACCACCCTTTTTCTAATGTCAGGAGGGAGAGTCGGTCCCATCATTCACACTAAACCTCACTATGTTCCAGGTCTGGAGAACTGGACGGCTCCCTTCAGCCAGAAACACCACCCAACTCTAGGCCTTCAGGTCTGAAAGGCCCCTGGGAACATCCTATCCCAACCTCAAGTGAGGAAGACTTCTCTAAACACAACAGCAGCTTAGTCATCTCTTGCTTGCACATCTAGTGACAGGGAACTCATTCCCTCCAAAGGCCAGCCCCTCCTCTGTTGGGAAAGCGATAGGACAGGTCTAGTCATTGGGCTGTCTACCAAAGTTCCTCCTTTGTCCAAGCTCTGCTTTTTGACCAAAAGTGTATCTGCTCTCTGCCCTGCCAGGCCAACCCTTCACCAGTGTGAAAACACCCTGAAAAGGTTACACTTATCCAGGCCGAACACTCAACATTCTGTTATTCCGTAGAGATTGCCTCTCACAGACTTACTAAGTTTGGGGGCTTTCCCCTCCTCATGACACCTGGATGCAGTACTCCAGCGTGCTGCCCACTCCCTTCTCTGGGCAGGAAATTTTTATACACTCTTAAAACCAATGGCATCACCTCTTTGGCTTTTATGAAGCCTTTATCCACAGTCTACTAATATCAGAACTGCTTTTCCTATTTTATACTTGAAATTGACCTTTGATATCTGATACATGATTCCTTACATTTCTTCACCTTCATCTCAGCCCAGAGTCCCAGGCTAATCAGGAATCATTCTGCACTCCTACTCATCAGCTGTCTACAGAGCGGGTGTAGAGTGCCGGCCCCTTTTCCCTCGCGTGTAACTAAGTCATGCCAATGTAGACCTCCCAGGAAGGAAGCTCACAGCGACCCTGCTACTCATCCAGGAAGACAACTAGATAAGACTACATGGGAGCTAATATCTCCTATTCTTCCTTTCAGCCTCGGCTCAAGTATGTCCTTGAACTCTCTTCCCAAACTGAACTGGGCTTTTCTTTTTTGTCACCTAGTATGACCTCAGTGCGCATCACACTGCACTACACCAAGAAATGGTACCACTGGTCCTCAGTGTAGGGCCTGAATCCAGGAAATACTCAGTAAGATTAAATTTGTGGGTCAAATGGGAAATAGCTCGGGCTGGATATCTTAACGGTGTTATGCACAGCTATGGCTAAAACACTGGAAGCCAGTACTGGGCACATTCCCACAGACACTGCCTCAGACTCCCCTTAAAATGACCCCGTTCTTACCAAGAAAACACAGCGCTCCAACCTGCCTATTTTAAGGCAGGGTCTCAGATTACTAACCCACCCTCCCACACTGTGAACTGCAGTGTCTCTGGAAGCCATATGATCATTTACCACTTGTGTCCAACTCTCTTCTCTCTCTGGATTATCCGGACTTAGTCACATTACCAGGTTCAATTTTCAACCTTCTTCTGTGCTGTACAATACAGGGCAGCCCATTTAACCTTACAGCAGCAATGGAGTTTTCAGTCTCTATGGGTCTTTATGGTGTAAAAACACACTTTGAGGGAAGGTTCTTCACTGAGCAAACTTCAGTTTTGTGCTTTGAAGAGATATGACCTAGTCCTTATCTCAGTGAGTAAAGCCTCAGACTAGATTTGTGAAATGAACCGGCATTCATAACTAATCAAGAAGGCCCTTTGGGTGGCAGCCACCATCCCGTCGTCAGCGTGGTCACTCCCCCCAGCACATCTGATCCACCATTAGATGCCCCACCCCCTGGGCTGACTCACCCACAGCCCAGTTCCTTCTCCACGAGCAGATGGGAAGCTGGCTGCCACTCTTCCGAGCCTTCTCCAATCTTCAAACGAGAGCAAAACAGAATAGTTTCTCCTACCAATTCTTCAAAATTAGGTAGGCCCATCTGTTTTCCTAATTGCTTATCAAAGGTGCCATGGGCACCAGGGAGAGTTGATTGTGGCCACAGGAGAAACTGATTTAGATGCAGATTGTGCCTTATAATGCTTGTTGCCTCAGGACACCTCCCACCCCTGCAGTGGGTGCAGAGGAGACTCTGTTCTCTTTAGCTGCACAAGGCCCGGTCCAGGAGGAAAGGCAACCCAGGAAGCAACTGGAGCTATATGTTAGCCAAGGCCAGTGAAGGAGGGTGGCACCTGCCTGAGGTTTTGAGCCAGGGCAGCAGAAAAAGCAATCAGTGACTTTGGAGTCAGTGGTCCCAGCTTCCAGGCTATGTCAGGACCAGTTGCTCACCTGTGACTGCCCACCTGTAAATGAGGCCACCCCTTTCAGAGCACCGGGCCATCAGGTAATTAGCAAGTGTGGGTATAGAACATTTGTTATTTTAGGACCAAGGGACAATCAGTATGTTCTCATATCTCCAACTAGCTGCATTGTTTTCTGAAAATAATCATTTTTAGATTTTATTTAGAGAGAGGGGAAGGGAAGGAGAAAGAGTGGGAAATATCAATATGTGGTTGCCTCTCACGTAGCCCGCACTGGGGACCTGGCCCGCACTGGGAATTGAACTGGTGATACTTTGGTTCTTAGCCCACGCTCAATCCACTGAGCTACACCAGCCAGGGCATGTTGCTTGCAAGTCATTTTAGCAACCCTCTTGGGAAGAGCTTGGGCCAGATGATTGCAAAGGTCCTTCAAGTGCTGGTTTACTGTGGGTGGCACAGACTCTTACATCAGTCCTTCAAATTGGCTTTACAAGTTTATAAGAAACAGGGATACATTTGTTCTCTGGTGGATGAGAAACTGACAGCATGGGGGTTTGGATGAGTTCCTGAGTAATGGTTCCAAGAGGGTATTTTTAAAAATCAGACGTTCTGAGTACAGCCCTAATGTGCAAGGACAATGTCGCCCCGTACCATTTGTTCTTTACTCAAATTCTGTCTTGGTGCATTTATTAGAAGAATGGTTGACTATGAGAATAAACATTGTAAATTGGAAATAACTTAGAACTCAGAAGATGTAGCTGTACACCACAGAAACCCCACCCTACCTAATTTCTCCCATTATTCTGAATGCCCAAGCAAGACATTCTAATGGGGGCATCTCCCAGAGCAAAGACAGCATCAAAAGTCAAACACACAGAGTCTAAGCTTTGTCCAGATTTGCCTGAGCTTGCTCTCCAGAGATGAGAGTTTTGACTAGAAACAGGACATTTTCTTTCATGAGTTTGCTTTACTGTATACTTTCAACATGGGCCTCTCTTCAAGCAGGTAAACATCCCCTGAAGAATGCACTTTGGTACTGCTTAAACAACAATCATCCCATTTGACTTTGTGCCATTTCTTTGTTGGCACAAGCATCCCCAACAGGGCATGCCCTGTTCTAAGTCCTCTGTCTTCGTCAAAATGTTCTGTATGAAGAGTGTAAGAGGTGGCCAGTGGCAGCAGTCCACAAGCATTGAGCCCCTTCTCCAATTCTAATGTGCACAGCAGGCTGAATAAAACCAATACACAACCCATGTTTTATTTCTAGGTGGGAGGGGGACAGGCCCTAATGACAACAATGTTTGTATAAAAAAGTGAGAGTAAACCCCATCAAGTGCCAAAAAAAGCTGGCACTTATAATAACCATTTTCTCCCTTGCACAGTTACCCATTCTCTCCTTAGGACTTGAAGTGCTCTGCTGGAGGCTAAGGGTTGACCTCACCGAGGCAGAGCCCCTGCTCCCGCTGGTGGCGCAGCTTGGATGGTGGGCAGGGCCAACAGGGAGAATCTGACCACTGCCTTCAGGAGCCAGGGCCCAAAAGCTACTCTAAAGCTCTTAGCAGCTTGATCTTTGAGGGGTGCGTTGCCTGTTTTTATCCCTTATTAGAGGAAAGGATGATAAGCAAGCCTGGTCTCAACCTCGGCTTTGTCAAACAAGTTCTTGATTTAAGACACCAGAGAGCATAGCGAGGGAGCCTGCTCCAAGTCTGAGGTTGTCTCCCACACTTATTGACAAGACATTAAGGAAGCATTTACTCACAAAGCAAAGTGTGTAAATATTTTTCTTAGGAAGAAAAAAATACTGGTAATACATACAACAATGTGCACATACAGTCTTGGCACTTTTCCTTCATCCAATGTAACCAATCTCTAAAGTGGTGATCTCTATATATCTCAAAGTATCTTTTTCTGTAGCACAATCTCCAGAAAATTACAGTGAACAATAACCATGTGTAAAGATACATTTCTAGATTCTCTTTGGAGAAAAAAATCTATTTAGCAGCCTCTTTCCCTAGAACCCCACTGCGCTCCAACACCCCAGAAAGCAGACCTGCTTCCTCACTGAGTCCCAAGAATTTATAAGCAGCTATACTCAATTCTAAAAACTAGGCCAAAAGACCACTCTGTGGATTGAAGGAAAAGGCTGGCTTAGAAAGATTTAAGTCCCTAAGTTCTTGATTTTCAAAGAAAAATGAAGGGCTGGCCAGGTTTTAATCCTTGGTAGTTAAAGTGGCTGTTCCAATAAAAATGTCACTTCCCCAGATTCCACAGCCACTTTACTCACGCTACAGAGGCTTTCCCTGTCTGGATGTGTATTCAGGGGGATATAGGTGCATTTTCATTCTAACTGAAAAAATCAGGAAGAAAAGCCAGTAAAACAAAGTCTCCTAGATCATTTGGATGTCCCCTCATTATCAAATTGTGAGTATGTGTGTGTAACTTAAATGACTATTCAGACCTAGAAAATTATCATATAAAATAGGGCACAAGGTACTGGACATTAAGTTCCTAATTTCTTAAAAAAAAAAAAAGAAGAGGGATGGAAGGGGGAAGAGTTTGACTTGAATGACTTCCATGCCCATTCCAGCTACATATTTGATGATTAGGATCCAGCCTTCAATTTTTCTCTCCTTCCTCCTGCTGGCCCTCCGTGTCAGTGAAAAGCCAGGCAGGAAAAAGGAAAAAGACCCAGCTGCTGTCAGCCTCAGCTGAGAGGCCTGACTGCGGAAGAGGTAAGGAGGTTACTAGTGGAGATGTGGACCTCTGACCATGTCGGTGACCCTTAGCCTGCCTCGTTTCTTGGGGCTCAAACTAAAAGCAGCTTCTGATGGGATCTTACTGTCCTGCAGTCACTGGAGGATGAAATTCACTCTCCTCTAGTAAAATCACTTAGAAAATGGAAAGCAACCAAATTGCAACCAAATTCACAAATGGGAATATTTAAAATGTTCAAGGCAGCCTGCTTGGTGCTGGACAGCATCTTGAGTGGGACCATCCAAGATCTTCGCTATGGAAGAAGTGGCCTTTCACAAGACCATTCACAAACTCTCCAGCCACATACACATTCAAATACATTCTGTAGGATACTGAGCTCCACAGAGCGGGAACCGTCCTTTCCATCTTTGCAGCTCCACGACCCAGCACAAGGCTGGCACAAGTCTGAAGCTCAGGAAATCTGTCGGACGGAGCAGAAAGGACGAACAGCACAGCCTTCGGTCATCAGCTTCACCAGTCAAGCAGTGGCAGCTTCCCATTGTAATCAGTTTGTCAGTTTGTAATCATACAGCAATTAATTAAGCAGCTTTGATCTCTTAAGGGCATTTTTCTTTTAAGAAAATCGAATAAAGAAACACAGAGAAAAAGCATTTATCACCAGTGCTCCCTCCAGGCAAAAATTTTAAATTAAATTAAAAAAAAATGAAGCCACTTACAAAAAGTTTTCCTGGGAAGCCTCAGCGAAAAAGAATTAATCTTTTAAAAAAGAGGCAATTACATGAAAGGGGCCAGGGGGTGGACCCACACCCCCCTGATCTGACACCGACTGAACAGGCCCAGATGACTTCTTCCAACAGGTAGCAGTCAGCAGAGTCATGAGCACACCCCCAGAGGGTCTCCCCCCAATGGAAAAGGGCTGAGAGCCCCCTTCCCAGGGCAACCACAGTTCTTATATTCCCCATTGAATCACCTCCATCCTCCAACCTCTCATAACTTCCCCTTTAATAACAAAAACTAAAAATGCATATACACAAGGAACAGAGTTAGTAGGGCATGGGGAATTTGTATGGTGAATCAGATGCCAATGATTTGTGAGCAATATGTTTGCTTTGTGAAACCGTGTGTCTCATTCTAGCTGAGAAACCCTCCCCAGCATTCTATTTTCCTACCTTGTCTTTCTCCCTTTTTTCTCCAAAGAATTCAGGTCAAGAACTCCACTTGTAACCAACTTCACAATCAAGCAACGAGAGGGAAACTTTTCAGAAGGAAAAAGTGTTCGGGTTTTAGTTATTAAATATGGGAAGCATCTGAAAATACAGATACCTTAGTGGTTTTGCATCCTCCAAAGCCATGCAGATTAAAGATTAAGCCTCCTCCCTCCTTAACCTAAACTGCTCAGCTGGAAGCATGGAGAACCACTGTCAGCACGCTGCAGGCACTGCAGTGGGGCCCAGGGAAGTCAGGAAGCTGGATTCAGAATTCAGAATGTTTGTTCAACAAGAAGTAGCGTTTCACTCTGCATCAGAAGTTAAAATGTGTTGTTTCCACTATGTGATTTCTTATTACTCTGGGGACATATTTAAAATATATATCTTTTTCTATTAAAATATTTATCTTTTTTTCAAAAACAAAAATTGGTTCCAACTGAAAAGTATTTTTTGAATTATTGGAGATATAGAAAAAGGTGGCAAGTGGAAAAATAAGTGTCTTTGCTACTACCAATGAGACCAGCCTCCCAATAACATTAACAAGGATCAAAAAGGAACAATCTGAAACGGCAGTAACTGGTGTTTTCTCTAAGGGCCTTTAGGGAGTCACCCTCTCTGTCTGCCGCAGACCAGTGCCAGCTCTTCTCTCCTGGGTACCTATACCTTCCAGCAGCCTCTGGAGGGCACGTGTTGCTGGTGGGACCTAGAACTGAAGTGGTGTGAACACAAAGTAATGAGACTGATATATGTTTTTAAACACACATCTGCATGTATGCACACACAGACACAGGGAACACAGAATACATACATTCAGGTGAGTGACACTGCCCACCAAAGTAGTCACGGAAGAGGATCCACATATCTCAGTGATCATCGAAATGCTTAAGACATCTCTGGAACTTCTCTCTGGGAACTGTTTATGAGTTGCCCGAGGAAATGGCTCTGCTTTATAGCTGCACCTCATTTATGACTCCACACCCTCTTATTAACCCACCTTCTCCTCCAGAGGCTTCAAACAGCTTCTGACTGGTTCCAAATGTAAAATTCTCTCTCCTATAACTCCAAATGATTACAAAGATTTGCTCAGAGAAAGGAGGCAAATCTCCTGAGAAGGAGCAAAATAAGGTGATACAGTAAATTCCTAGGGACTTGATCAGTGAGTCACTGCTCTGGATCTCAGCTTCTGCCTTAATAAGAGGAAGAAATTGGAATCGATGACCATTAAGGTCCCTTCCAGTTCTAACATTTTAGGAGTCTATGTTTCCAGATGTTTCTAGACTTTGAGGACAATTCCAGAAGTGTTTTCAATTGGAAAATGTGCAGTACCCTTCTGGGGCCACTCAAGGGGACAACATACATTGGGATATAGAAGCTCTGAAAGGTTTGTTAAATGCCAGTCACATGACTTTATAGTAACAGCTCATACATGCACAGGGAATGCCAGCCCATTTGAGATTCCCTAAAAATCCTATCTTAATCCCTATTCTCAATGAGCCCAGATGGGCAGAAGCACCAAGCACCACCAGGGATGCAAAAGACACATGGTGTCAGCTGTTAAGGAAAATAAACCCCAAAGGTCCATGGGACTGAATTTACCAGCTGCATCCAGCTAGATACCTTGTTTCCATAGTATGGAGTTTCAGCCTTGTTCTTGCCTGACTTCTGGGCAAACTATTTGGACTTTAGATCAACACTGCAGATAACCCTTGGCCATGTGGAGAGTAATGATGTCCAACTGTCCTTTATCTTACAGGGTGGAACAGTGGTGAAAAGGAGGCTGTAAACTGTGGGGGTGGGGCTAACTGCACACTCTATGTGTAGAGTTCTAGCCAATCTCAATGGTCTGAGTGTGGATTTTGCACAATGGGTACTCGATGCCTAGCCAGCTTTCCCTAGGCTCCCGTGGCATGACCTTGGGCTGCAGTCCATCATGGCAACCTGTTAGTGTGGGAAATCCATGGGATTTGTCGTCGGGAGACCCAGTGGTCAGGCTGGGCCATGCCACTTAGTTGAGAGAGCTTGAATACCTGCACTGCAGTTTCATCATCAAAAAATGGGGTCAATCCCACTTATATGCCAGGTCTCCTGTAAGACCAAGTTAAACAATGACTGTGAGATGGTTGTCAACAATAGAGCAGTAATCAAATGTTATTTTTTAAACAGGGAATGTTAATTAGCTTTTGTAGAAGCATAAACTCAATTGATTTCATTAGGAATATTTACTTGTGACAGGGGTCAGGAGAAGGGCTAACATAATCTTTTTGAATCTGCCAAAGAACTATACTGTTCCACTTCCTTGAAAATCATGGAAGTTATTTTTATCTGCAAAGCTGATTTAAAAATACACCCTGTGAAAAGAAGTCAGGAGGTCTATCAGTTTGAGAAGGTATCCCTCTTTCCTCTACCATTTCTAACTCTGGCCACGTGCTCCTGAATCTCATTCCAAGTGGGTGCCGCCAGATCAGGCCCAGAAGCACTCAGGCATGGGTCACGTAGCGGGTGGGGAGTGCTTCTGGCCTCAGTCATAGGGAGGCAAAGATGCAGTTTTCTTGGACGTAGACTACAAAGGCCCTGGAACCTCTCAGATTTTGCCATTGAAAGAAACCCAAAGTGAGAACGCTCTGTTCTGGAGGACAAATGACCAAGCCCGAAGACCTCTTAGAGACAGGTGACACTGTTCACGAGGCGCTACTTGGACCCAGCCATGCTGCTGGATCGTAGGAGATACTGGTCCACGCTCCCTTTTCGCCGACTCACAGTCCGCCTCTCGTTGTCAAACATGCGCTGCAGCTGCAGAGCCAGCTGTCGGTCCTCTTCCTCTTGCTGCAATTTCTGCTCCATCTCTCGCAGGACAGGGTCTGCCGGGGCCAGACCCACCTCATCACTGCTTTGTCGTAGTTTCTTAAGGGAGCCATTTTGTTCCAAGTGCTTGGTCTTGCAGTGTCTTTTCCGGCCCCGACGCAAGGAAGGAAGAGGCTCCTCACCTAGGTTGTCTGCCAGGACACCATTAGGCAGATCGAAATGATTCACTGTCTTCAGCTGTTTCTTTGTTTTGAAGACGCCACCCAAACCACTGTTTTTGGACAGCACTGAATTAACTGCCGAGATTTTCATGGCTGTACTTATACAAGCTTTGTCTAACTTGGCATCTGAGCTTGACCCTGACCCTTCAAATTGTTCTCTCTCCAAAGGAGTCCCACTGGCTCCCACTCTAAGTTCTGAAGAAGAGCAGGTTTCCATTGGGATCTCAGTGTTCCTTTTACTGCCACTGCCCTGCTCTGCTTTTGTTTGGCTAACAGAGGGGAGATAGTCCAGGTCAGCGGGGGTGGGTCCAGTACATTCAGACAGTATATGCCCACTGGACAGTCTTGTATTTAAAGTCGGAAGTGGCTTCTCTTTGCTAGAATGAGTAACTTCAGAGACTAGCAAATCGTCCCCTGTTTCTGGAGCCATGGAGGTAAGGGTGGCTTTCGAAAGGGTTTTTTTGATCTGCCGCTCCTGAAAGATCTGTTCCCACTTTTTGAGGATCCGTGGGCTGGCCTCGTAAGAAGTCTGTTTCTGCAGGCTTCTGTTTAGGTTGCGGGGTGTTGATTTGATGATGAGGGGACTTAGCACACGGCCATCAGGGAGTCTCTTGGGAGGAGTACACGGTGAGCAGACAATGGGCTTGAAATGGTTGAGTTCCTCGGAGATGCTGTCATTGCTCTCAGGGCTAATGGAGCGCTCGGGCTTCTGCAGGGAAGACAAGGATGAGAGGGAGCTGAAGGGCAGACGCTTTTCAATGGTCAGGTCAGGGGCGGAGAGGCAGCGGTTGTTCTGAGTGGACAAGAGAACACCAATGATGGGGTTGGTGCTTGGGGTTATAGTTGTTACCTGAAAGAGATGAAAAAGAGTATACATACATACACACATACATACATAGCTTGCTTCATAATTCCTTCACAATGATAGAGGCATAAGGAGAGAAAGAGCAAGAAAATGGATAAAGAATGATGTGAGCCTAAGAAAATGGGGGAAATCACTAACCTACAATGTACACTGTTTCCAGAAATTCCTACAAACTTGAAATAATAAAATTGATAATCTATAGAAAAAAAGTCACCTAGAATTTAAAAAACATTATTATACCAACCCTTTCTACACATCTATTTGTAAAATTCTCCAACACAGTTAGCATGCCCAGGACCCATTCTGCCCCTTCCCGTCGCATGTTTCTCCTGTGGCCGTGGCAGGGGTTGTGGCACGGAACGTGGACGCCCGGGGCCTGCGGTATACCTTGGCTTTGCTGGCGGGGGCCGCTCGGAGTCTGCCCTTCGTTCTGTCCTGAGCGGTGTCACTACAGCTTTGACTTCTCTCCACCTTTAGGTTCCTAACAAAGAATAAATAAAAGAACAGATAGTCAGGGACAGCCAGTAATGCTAGCTAAGAAAACAGAAATAAAAATGTCTTCTGTGTTTTCACAGCCACCCACTAAGAAAGACAATTCCCTTGGGCAACTACAGTAGAAAATGAGTTAATTTACTAACAAAACACGTCCTGAGAGCAAATCCTGTGGAAAGAGAATGAGTTCTCCAGAGAGGGCATTTGGTCTAAGCCTCTGTCTGCAAACCAGACCTGCTTAATTGACTATTTTGCTCATGCTTTGAGAGATATAGGGATACTTCACCTTAACAGGGTTCAACCACCTTTGCAAACAACAGACTTTTTTAATCCTCACCTGAGGAGATTTTTATTGATTTTAGAGAGAGAGGAAGGGAAGAAAGAAACACCGATGTGAAACACAAACATCAATGGGTTGCCTTGCACATGTGCCCCGACTGAGGATCGGACCCAACTCCTAGTGTGCGGGATGCCATTCTCACAGCAGGAGACGGGAAGGGGCTGGAGCAACAACAGAATTTCTTTTCCTCCAAACATCTCCGCAAGCAATCTAAATCAGCCATGAAATAAATATTTAAGTACCTACAAAATGCACAGCAGAGCACCAGATTTTCATGTCGGGAGTCAAAATTAACTGTAGACTCTCCCTTAATCCATTATGGTTGAGCTTCCAAAGGCCTAAATCCTGGTAACTTAAGAGACTTCAGGGACACATTTTTTTTTCTTATGTGTGCATTACACAACTTTACAACCCAAATCAAAACTCACAGTGCCTGTATCAGAGCATCAATCCCGCCATGTAAGAGTTATGTGTGATGACTGTCACCCACCCCACAGATTCTCAGTAGGAATTCTTGGTTTTCTTATTACTACCTTTGTTCTCTACTCTTCACCCCTTACCTAATACATGTGTGGCAAGAACAGTGCTTCTACAAAGGTTTGCAACTGATAGACACCTGTGCTACAACTCTATTCAACAAGCACTTATCATACCCTTTCTTATGCTACTCACTACTGAGCACTATCTGGGCACTAAAAATACAAAGAACGAGATACAGCCTAGGTCTTCAAGGAATCAGAGTCTAGTGAGGCACACAAATAAATAATCCAATGCGATATAATAAAATGGTACAACAAAAAAGGATGCCGGAAAGACAGGTAATTGATAGCTCTGGGATGGAGTGAGAGTAGGGCTGGAAAAGCCAGAAGTCGAGGTGGACACACAGCCAGGTAGATGATACCAAACAGAAACGATTCCCTATAATAGCTTTGGAATGGAATACATCCTATCTACTTTTTGTAGCAAAAGATTTACTTTTAAAGTTGTGCTATGCCAGGGGAAATTTATAAAGGTGGTAATAAGGGGTACTGCCAGGGTACCTCTCCTCTCTCTAATCTCTAGCAGAGGCCTGTCCTGCCTCCACAATGGCTTCCATTCCCGAGATTTCTGTGGTATTCTTCCCCTTCAAAACCCCCTCATCCTATGTCTCTCGGCTATACCGTCTTGCTGGATGGCTTCAATCTGATTAATTAATCTATGCTATGTTATTATTAGGACAAAGTGGTGGCCAACCTGCCTTACATGCCTGCACTTTACCAGAAAATTCAACATTGAACCTAAACAAATAATGTGAGAGTTGTCCTACCTAGAGAGAGATTTATTTTGAAACAGGTAGGAAACTTCAACATCACCCTACAAAGGCAGCTGCTTAGAAATCAGCTTGGTTTGTATTTTACATGGAATAGTACTGAAATTCATTTGCATTTCAGAACTTATACAAACTGTCAGTGGTGTGAGCCACCCAGAAGTAAACAGGATGGCAGATTAAAATGCTGGGGCAAATAATGAGCACTTTGGGTCAGGAGGAATGGAAACAGAGCTGAAAGAGGCAGCATTATTATTTTCAATAGATGACTTGTTTGGCATGACTTCATTGGAGAAACACGTAGACATTTAGACACTCATGTACCTAAGTAAGAACTTTGTAACTTTCAATAGAGCAGTTTACTGATAGCCTTAAGAGGTACTGACCTGTATGTCAGCAGAGGTGTTCAAACAGAGCTAGACCTATATGTTAAAGTCCAAATAGTCCATAATTAAGAACTAGCTTAATATAATGTTTAAAAACTGGCTACGAATCCATTTTGTCAGCAGTAACAGAGTCAGACTGAAAGACACTGGCTACCTGCCCAAGTTATCAGATGCACAAACGACAACTACCTCCTGCTGCGGAGCACCTCTTCACACTCCCCCAAAATGCGATGTGTAATGAAAGAAAAGGCCCAGGGAGGAGACCCACACTTGCACTCAAGCACACCACAAAAACACCCAAAGCAGTTTCTGACCACTTCAAATCTTTTTGATAAGCCTCAATATGGCTGAAACTGTCCTTGTCTCTTCCACTCATTTGGTCAGCAGACTTGACTGGGCACCAACTCTGTACGAAGCACTAGAGACAGACTGATGGGAAGATAATCCTGACCCGCAGGAGGGTCCAGTCACTGAAGCCCACCACATCACAGCATGAAAGTACTGCAGGAGAGAGGTAATTACACAGCTAACCTCTCCAAGAGTCACCTTCTAAGAGTTTTATAGTTTTAGCTCTTACATTTAGGGATCTGGCCAAATTTGACTTAATTTTTATATATGGTATGAGGTTGGGGTCCAACTTTATTCTTTGGCACGTGGAAAACCAGCCATCCCAGCACCATATGTAAAGAGACTATTCTTTCCCGCACCAAAAGATCTTGGCATCCTTACTGAAAATCAACTGACCACGAACGTATGAATTTACTTCTGGACTTTCAATTCTATCCCAAACATTGATATATCTACCTTTCCCTCAGTGCTACCCTCTTATGATTACTGTAGCTATGCAGTAAGTTTGAAATCAGAAAACTGTGAGTTCTCCACTTCTGATCTTTTTCAAGATTGTTTTGGTATTTGGCATCCTTTACAATTCCATATGTGATTTTACTATCAGCTTTTCATTTCCACAAAAAAATGAGGCTGGAATTTTAATAGATATTGCAATGAATCTGTAAAACAAGTTGGGGTGTACTACCATCATAACAATATTAAGACTTCTAATCTATGAGCACAGCAAGTGTTTCCCTTTACTTAGGTCTTGTTTAACTTCTTTCAACAATGTTATATAGTTTTCAGCGTTAAGTCTTATGCCTCCTTGGTTAAACTTAATTGTGACTATTCTATTCTTGTTGATGCTACTGTAGATGGAATTGCTTTCCTAATTACATTTTCAGATTGTTCACTATTAGTGTGTAGAAATTCAACCGATCTTTGTGCGGCGATCTTCTATCCTCCAACTTTGCTAGTTTGTTTAATTCTAATAGTTTTTCATGAAATCTTTAGAATTTCTTACAAATAACATCATGTCACCGGTAGAGACAGTTTTACTTCTTTCCTTGCAATCTAGATGCTTTTTCTTTTTTCCTAGCTTTACTGAGATATAACTGACATACACAGGGTAGAGAAAATATAGGTTTACAGTTGTGAGTACATGAAACAGTTTAATCTTGTATAATTATTTATTAATACCTACTTTTATTAATACTGACTTCTGCCCCATCCTGTATTATAATATTTGTAAGTTTAAGTTATTTTCTTAGTGGTCACACTGGGGATTACAGTTAACTATTTATAACAATCTATTTCAAATTGATATTAGCTCAAAACTTTGTGTCAAATAGTGTACAAAAACTTTGATCCTATATAATGCTATCTCCCCATTGTGTTATTATAGTCACATGAAGAAACACAAAAGTCATGAATTAAAAATACCGTATAAAAATATATATATATAGATAGATAGATAGATAGATAGATAGATATTATTACTGTAGTAGTTGGCCATCTTAAGAAGCGTCAAAGTTCTGGCTGAGAAGAGTCAAGAGCAATAAACCTGATACTGTTCTTAGCACTGAAAGAGCTCAAACATACCTTCACTAAAAACAGAGAAGTGACTTCTCCCACCTCCGTGTACACCCTTCCGTATCCCCAAACCCTGCCATGGTGCCTGGCACATAGTAGATATACTCAATAAATCTATTGTACATGAATAAAAATATGTACAGAAATGCCTCTCTCTTCTTTAAGAAAACTGTAACATTCATTAGGAATGTAATATCTGTCATACACTGTGCTAAGTGTTTTAAATAGAGTGTATCTCATTTAATCCATACAGAAACCCTACGAGATATGTACCATCATCCTCAATTTACAAAGAACTGAGGGAAGTGATCTTTCCAAGGTTACACAGCCAAAGCCAAGATTTGACCCCAAATCTCTATGATTCTAAAGCCTATGCTCTTCCTCCCACAGCATACTGATTTACATGCTACTCTGCTCTGCCACAGAACAGACCCAGCATGTCTAGGGTAGCTCTCTCTTCCAAACACATCATGAAGTCATAAAAAAGAGAAAGCAGTATTGTCTGAAAGGCAACTGGTTTAAAATTTCCACTGCCAAGAGGCCAGATGGTTTCTGGGATGTCTAGTTAGGCTAAAAATACCTATAACCACAATGAGTCTGACTTACAAACAAAGAAAAGGAGGGACAGCCAGTATAAACATGCAGCTAGAAAGCTAGAAGATTTAATCCTTCTAAAACACTGCTTAAAGAGTTTTCAAATGTTAACACATGATATAAAACACTAGAGAGCTCAAGCTCTCAACTGCTCACCCATCTATCTCACCCACACCACATTAGTTTCTTTTAATCAAATTCTCAGGTCTAACAGAGCTGAGCCCCACCAAGAAACTAAAGGCTGGAGAAGACCCTCCTCCCAGCCTCTGGCCAGGGTGTGTGAGCCCCCCTCACCTGCCTCCCCAGACAGATACTTGAATGAAACCAGCAGCTCCCTTAGGCCTCATTGTAGCTGCCAAGCAGAAATGGATGAGAATTTGTTAAAATCCTTCCCTTGTGTATTTATGATCTGGATTATCTGTGTTGTGCATGAGTATTCTTTA